GCAATATGCAATGCGAGATTCGCCACCGTCAAGCCCCAATCTCGTGGTACGCTTGAGTACTCAGGTAAAGAAACACTAACCTGGAAAAACTCTTCTTACTAGCTGGGAGTAGTTCATATATATGGCTTTTGCGCACCTTGGGAATTCACGCTCAACGCGCACTACACAGGGGGTGCTGTGGATTTGATATATATCACGGGCAGCTACTGACAGTCTGGTGGAACATCAACAACTGCAAACACAAACACAGACACAATTTACACGATAAAGAGACTCAACAGGATCAACTCAGCATAAGCTTGATACTCGTTTACGTATAGTTAGATCATGGCTAAATCAACCTCAGAGGTTCCGGTCAACGTGCTTTGCATCGAGCCAGACTCCGGTTTCCGCTGCCTTCTCTCCCTCCTTCTCGTGGATGACCTTATGACTCGAGTCACCCAGCATATGGAAACCTCCCGACGAACTCCAATCCGGCATGTTTTCGATCTGGTTGGCGGTGAAGGTAGTGGTGGAATCGTGGCACTTCTCGTGGGCCGCCTCGGTCGAAGCATAGCATCGGGACCGGGTATACTTCGGGATATGATGTCTAAGTTTTGTCCATGGGGTGGAACTAAACGAAATGCCTTGGGGATTCACCGGAACAAGCCATTTGTATCGAATTGTGTTCAGCCAGCTTTTGAGAGGTTGGATGAGGAGGACGAGTCGAAGGTTTACTACAACAAGGATAGTGTGCGGACTTGCATTCTTGCGTCGTTGGAGCAAGCTCCGCAGGGAAAAAGATTTTCGAGGAAAATCAAGGATTGGGCTGAGAGAGTAAGGGTAGCTATCAAAGTTATACCCATGAAGTACGATATAACCTCCTTCGTTCCTAATACAGTTTTTGGTAACAACTAACACGGAGGTATCTAGACTTTATTCACGTCTGAAAGCAGGAAAATTCTACTCCACCATGCTCTTCTCCACCGAGAAGATCACCGACCCCACCATAACCACGGGCCCCAGCACCTACACCCTCAAAGAGCGCTTTCGTACCTACGACCAGACCCTCTCACGCGCCAACGTCTACATCTCCGATGTCGCACAAGCAACCTTCACACACGACAACCTTGTCGCCCCCAAAATCATTAACGGACGCAGCTACGGTTCCGCCTACCCTAGCACCAACGCTATCCTCGACATCATCGACGAATCTAACGTCCTCTTCCCCGACCGCCCGCTCGGTGTCGTTGTCCGCATTGGCGGCGAGTTTATGCATTCTCTCGATACGCCGAGCCTGGGTAGGACGGGGGAGAAGGAGCATGATGGATTCTTGGAGAAGATGCCTAATATGGAGATAGTCTTCCAGATCCCGCTCCCGGAGGTCCAATATGAGGCCGAGCTCATGGATGAGCCGGAGAGGGTATTGGGGGTGTTTGACAAGTGGATTAAGAACCCGCAGGTAGTGGATAGGTTGGAGAGGTGCGCCGAGGCGTTGTGTAATGCCGGTATCAAGGAGAGGTCGGAGTGGTATCCCCGTGATGCGGTGAAGGATATTAGGACGTAAGGCGGTGAAGGATGTTACGACGCAAGGCGATGTGCTTTTTCGTGCTTTGTGGGGGAATTACTTTTTTTTTTTTTTTTATTTTTGTTGCCTCGGAGGACTTTCACTACTATTGCTTCTTCTCATTCTGTCTGTTTTGTTTTGGGCTTTTTCGCGAGATTAAGGTGTTCAAGGGATGGATTGTTTCTATACAGCCTGACGGCTATTTCATAGCTCATTTGTTTCCCAAGTTATTTCCTTACAATAGCTTTCCTTTATTTTCTGGAGTCTAGTTTTCAAAAAATGATACCCATGCTATAATGTCCTGAGTCCACACAACCACCTGATCAGCTGTGCGACCTTCGCGAATTCAAGACACTTTCAGGTTTAAGATCAAAGTATGGGCCAGATTGAATGTCTGAAACCGAATCTACATCCGGTTCAATTGAAGGCCCAAGCTTCCCATTTCTTTTTGTGGCGTAGGCAAGAACCATGGCTCACGCCTAATTGATCCGCACAAATCTCTCGGACATTTCCCCTTCGAGCGATTGCTGTGTCTCAGAATGTATATGTTCTCAATTATGGACAACATAAGGAGAAACATCCAAACCGAGTGATAACTCATGATCCCGCGGAGCACAATCTCTACAGTTGACAACCCTCACCGACCTCCAACACACAACACAGCGCCCGCACTCATGTTACTCCTCGGGTACCTACCTCAAGCACAGTCCTCGAGCTCCCGGTTTAAAGTTTTTTTCGTCAGAACTCAGCTTTGCTTCGCAACCCCCACATCAGCCTTGCGAAAAACCGGGCCTGATTGATATGCAAAGTCAATATTTCGTTTTTTCTCGTTAAAAAGAGTCTTGCGCTCAATCTTCGAAACTGATCGTCCGTTCTAACCTACGTGCCTTAGTGTCATTTGCCGGCAGTTCCAATTGGCCTTGTGAGGGTGTGGGGTGGCCATGGGGGGGGTGTTGTTGTTGTTGAGCTGAGCTGTGTAGCTTAGTCCGAAACCTTAACTGGAACCAACCCTAACCCTGACTTATATGTCCGGCCAGCTAGGTGGCCAGCCCTGTTACTGTCAAGGCAGTATTTTGGACAGCAGTGCAAGTCTGGAGACGGGAGTTCCCTACCCTATTAGCGGGAAGCTGAGTGCTCGCGTGCAATAAGGTATAAGGTAAAAAAAGGAGCGCGGTCATTCAACGGATAATATCAGCTGTACTGTGCCAAGAATGTTTAAGCCTCAGTGAGCCACTCAACAGAAAGTATGCCTTCGTTTCGACAAGGGTTTGTGGCCCTCATAATAATTCACTTATGGCCCTTTTGGCTGAGTGAGGTTGCCGTGTGGGCTAGCGGAGAGTAACGACGACGGATTGGATTTTGAGGTTGGAATTGCTTTTGAGCCGCTATTTCCGTCCTTTGTTCAAGTCATTCCGGAGCTGGCGTTGCGCCGATGTTTGACTGATACTGTGTGTCTCTCGTCCTCTTGTTATCACGGTGAGACACTGCTACATGGTTTGTATAGAGTAGAGTACTGCCGTTCACGGGGTATTGGCGGATACTGGGTGTTGACGGATTGCAGGCAAAACTTGGCTTGGCTGTCTCTTTTTTGGCTTATCCGTCAACACCCAGTGTCCGTCAATACCCCGTGAATGACAGTACAATACCAGGGCTTATCTGTAGCTATTCCATTACCGGCAGATGCGGGGAGGGATGGCTGATAGATGTGCACCTGTCCTATCCCACTACTGCGATATCTGCTACTCCTCTGATATTCGAAACCCATCGAGATAAGCCCCACCTTAATATCCGTGCCCTCCAACAAACTAACCGGGTCGTTTCCAATTATAAGTACCAGCTAGTAACCGGGTTATTCCAGGATTTGCTTAATTGTTATACAGCGATGGGGAAAATTATTGTAGAAGTATGGTAAGAGTCCTATTGGCCAGGGCAGCCACCTAAACCCTGTTTTTAGACCCCTGTTTCTACAATAATTTTCCCCATCGCTGTATAGTTATACCCCACACAATTGAAGGCGCCCGAGTCTGCTTCTTTTTTTTATTTTTATGTTTGTGGAGGATCGGTACTTTAGATGCCGGCCGCGGAGGCTCTTTGTCTTGTGTCGCCAGGCAGGCAGGCAGGCAGGCAGGCATTGAGCAATCGGCTGATAAGCAGGGGCCCAAGATGGTGCAACAAAGATATTGTTTTGCGATGACGACGGCGCTGACCCCCACTTTGTATGCTGGCCGTGATTGGGCGAATAGACGACCGATGAGTTTGAGGGACGAACCGTGGTCTGGGGGTTACCGCATGGGGGTGCAAAGCTTGGAAGTTGGAATATTTGCATGTGGATTTGGGTAGGAATGGAATATGGGGGGAGGAGGGGGTTGATGATGATGATGGTGGTGCTCTGCTCTAGATGCTGTCCGGCCTTGCAATGCCAGCCTCATGCTCACGTGTGTACGAGCAGTGAAGAGTTTGTAAACCGCTGTGCAGAGGGCCAATCCTGGTGTTAGGGGCCTTTTCTTTTTCTGCTGCAGGAGATCTGGTGAGAGGTGAGGAGGTGAGAGGTTTGAGCTGTGAGAGTAACGGGGATGGCAAAGAAAGAGGAGGACAAGGTCGAGAGGCGACGAAATTTGTAATATTCCCATTTTCCTTTCTGGTTGACGAAGATCAAAAGAAAAGCAAAGCAAGGAAAAAAAAAAAAAAAAAAAAAAGAACTATGTATCATCATCCATCCAGCTGGGAGGGAGACTTGACGGACCATCCATCCAGTCGTCTCTCTTTTTTATTTTTTTCTTCTCTCTTCCCTTTTTTCTTTTCTAGCTCTGTCGTTCGCTCCCCTCTTCGTGATCCTTATATTCTTCTTCATCTCCACCTGTATTTATTTTTCTTGCCGGGCGATTCCATGTCGACTTCTCCGGGGAATTATTCTCCCTGAATCTTAAGGCGGGCCGATCTAGATATTTTCACCAATCTGACTTTCTGCCTGTGCTGTACGTCGTGCTCCGTTGCATCCTTAATTCTTTTCCAAGGGGTGTGCTAGGGCAGAAAAAAAAGAGAGTGAGAGAGTGAGCGAGTGAGGGTGAGAGAGTGAGAGAAAGAGAGAAAGAGAGAGAGAAATATCACAGTGATAGAGAGAGACAAAGGAAGAGAAAAAGAGAGAGGTGCAGATCAGAGAGCAGCAGGGCCACGCGATAACCACGCGAGTGAGATCAACAAAACGTCTCAGAATCCCGCGATAACACAAACATCCCTTCCCTCCAAAATCCGCCGCCGCCGTCGCCCCACCACCACAACAACCACCAACCACAAACCACGAAAAAAACTCCCCGGAGTATCCGGAGATCCTCGTTAGGCCCCCCGTCCCCTGCTGATAGCGCAGATATCAGGAATAGGAAAGAGAGAAAGAGAAGTGAAAGGGTCAACGACAGATAGAGCCAGAGAGAGAGATAGAGAGCGAGACCGTTAAAGAATGGTTCATGGGGCCGGAAATGCGACGGGAACGGGCAGCACGGGTACGAGCACTGGCACTGGAACCGTCACCGTCACTGGCACTGGGGCCACCAATGCCCGCCGCGATAAGAAGCTTGCAGGTGATAGCAGCTCGACACGGCCGCTGAAACGCCGCTGCGTCAGTAACGCCTGCATCGCGTGTCGGAGAAGGAAGTCCAAGGTACGCCCCTTGCTTTGTCACTATAATAAGCTGCAACTCCCCTCTCTACTCCCCTCTCCTCTCTTCTTCTCGCCCTTCCAGCCCTAACAAGTGGATATACAGTGCGATGGGAACACCCCGGCCTGCGCCGCGTGCGCCTCCGTCTACCATACCGAGTGCGTGTACGATCCCAATTCAGACCACCGCCGCAAGGGCGTCTACAAGGCCGACATCGATAATCTCAAGAACCAGAACAGCACTCTACAAACGCTGATTGAGGCAATACTAAACTACCCCGAGGACCGCGTGTACGAGCTTGTGCGGCAGATTCGGACCTGTGACTCACTCGAGGACCTCGCCGAGGCGATAGTCGCGGATGCTGCAAACGATGCGGAAGGGGAGTCACCGGAAAGCGGGAGCTTTGATGCCGCGGGTGCGAGTGGTGAAGGGGAAAACCCGGCGAGTCTGGAGGCAGAGCTGAGTGGCAAGCTGGGGCAATTGCGCATCGAGGATGGTCAGGTTAGGTTCATTGGGGCTACGAGCAACTTGATGTTCGTGCCGACAGGGCGCAATGAGGATGAAGACGAAGAGGAGGATCGAAAGAAGAACGGCCTGGACATATACGAGAAGAACCCCATCACGACATGGACAAAAGTTACGGACGATCCGGAGCTTATCAATCATCTGGTCACCATGTATTTTGCTTGGCATTATCCATACTTCACGACACTCAGCAAGGACTTGTTTTACAAAGAGTTTGTGCACGGGATGCGGGGGTCTTCGCAGTCGGGGACGGTATATTGTACACCGTTGCTCGTCAATGCTATGCTAACCCTTGGATGTCACTTTACTTCCGTACCAGGTTCGCGGGCAAATCCGAATGATTCATCAACAGCCGGCGACCATTTCTTTAAGGAGGCAAAACGACTAATTCTCGAGAACGACGAGCATGAAAATCCGCGATTGACAACGGTACAAGCACTCGCGTTGATGAGTGTTCGGGAAGCTGGCTGTGGACGAGAGTCAAAGGGATGGGTGTATTCCGGCATGAGCTTCAGGATGGCCATGGACCTAGGACTGCATCTAGATCCTAACTCTCTGAAAGAAGGTGTGGGCACCGGCTCCAGCAGAATTACCGATGAGGAAGTGGACGCTCGGCGGGTGACATTCTGGGGGTGCTATCTATTCGACAAGTAAGGGGGACCTTTCATCCGAACATTTACCAATTCACTAATAATCACAGGTGTTGGAGCAATTACATGGGCCGGATGCCACAACTGCCTTCCTCGATGGTGACGGTCCCCAAACCTGATGTTTTCCCCAGCGAAGATTCAGACAATTGGCATCCGTACACCGACACTGGGCTCTCTATGGCCAACCCGCAGCCCTCCCGCATACGCGCTGTCGCACTCCGCATTACTATGCTCTGTGAAATCAGCAATGATATCCTCCTCTCCTTCTACAACCCCACCCCCGGCAGCACAAGCGCCGGTGGTGCAACCTCCATCGATGCATCTGCCACTATCGCCAAGGTCTTACAGCAAGGCAAACACAGCGCTCTTGGAGAATTCAAAAAGCTCGGCGAACTGTTCACACGTCTTGAAGAATGGCGCAAAAAGCTGCCCCCAGAGTTGGAAGCAAAAGAAGGCAGTCTTCCCAGTGTGCTGCTGATGCACATGTTCCACCAGACGCTCTACATCCACCTCTTCCGGCCATTCCTGAAGTTCTCTGCCGCCACAACGTCCACACTCTCCCATCTCGACCCCCGGAAAGCGTGCCTAGGCGCAGCCACTACAATGTCGAAATACCTCCGCTTCTACAAACGCCGTTACGGCCTACGACAAATCTGCAACGTCGCCGGCTACTTCATCCACTCCGCATGTACCATCCACCTCCTCAACCTCGGCCAGAAGACCGCAAAGCGGGACATAGTCCAAGGCCTCAAGTCCCTCGAAGAGATCGGCGAATTCTGGCTCGTCGCCAAACGCGCCCTCATCATCGTCGGCATCCTCGTAAAGCGATGGCGAATCGAGCTCCCCGAGGAAGCCGAAGGCGTCCTCCGCCGCTGCTGGGTCGAGGGGCGCCGCTTCGGCCTCGGTGCAGAGGTCGAGCGCGTACTCGGCCGCAAACTCGAGAGGACCAAGAAGAGCTCCCCGAACCCGGCTATGTCGCCGGCGAGCGCGAGCGCGAGCAGCCCGCCGCCGAGTATGATCAACATCTATAACACGTCGTCCACGTCCGCCGGCTCGCCCTCCGCATCCTCCCCCGCACACCCGCAGCAGACGCAGTTCCAACCATACTTCCCGCAGCAGCAGCAACAACAAGCGCCGCAGACCACCACCGCTGCAACCGCTGTCCCAACAAGCGCATCATCACCGTCCTCGTTCCTCAGCCCCCCGCAACAGCAGCAACAGCAGCAGCAGCAGCCGTTCTTTGCGCCCCTCCAGCAGCCATACATGACCTTCAACGCGCCCTCACCCAGCTCGGCCAGCGCAAGTACACCGGAGAATGCAGAAGGCTTCAGCCAAGACTGGTGGTACCGCGACCAGACGGAGCTCGCGAGCGAACTGGGTGTCGGAATGGGCATCGACTGGGGCCTTGCTAGTGCCGCCGTGGGCACGGGCGCGACGCCGCGGTCGGATGTGTCGCAGGGGGAGGGCGCGGGGAATGTCCAGGCGGCTAGCGGGCCGGGGCCGTTTGGCGGGCTGGATGGGTTTGGGAATTGGGCGTGAGGCGGGGCGAGGCGGAAGGCGCGGGGAAGGCGTGGGGAAGGGGAAGAAAAAAAAGAGTCAAAAATTAAAAGTCGTGATGCATGGGTTGGGATGTATGAGTGTTTTTGTTTTTTTAACTGGAGAGGGTGGGGGGCTAGTCTAGTACTTTTGGGTTTGGATTTTTGTGTTTAGTTTCCGGAGTACCTCGTTTTTGTTATTTTTTGTTTTTTTGTTTTTTATCTATTTATTTATTCTTTCCTTTTTCTATGTTTATGTCTTTTCCCCCTTCGTTCCATCATCCATCACTGCTGCTTGTTGTATGTGCGGTGTGTGCTGTGCTGTGCTGTAGTGCTGTGAGTACTCTAGTGCTCTTCTCAAGTGCGATGACGTGCATGTAGCTTATGATCCATGATATCAAATATGGGGTCTCCTTCCACTGACTGGTTCACTTGTCGTTGTGCCTGTAGCATTTGGTCATTTACGTGCGGGCTTGCTTTTTATTCTTTCCCTTCTCTCTTCTCTTCTCTTCTCTTTACTTTTTAAGGCTTCATGATCCATTACTTCTTAGCTCTCCATATACTCTACAGTACAGGTATTAGTCTTGTGCGCTCTCTCGCTACTCCCCAAATCTGGCATTTCCATTCAGGCCGCCGCCGCCGCCGCCGACGTCCCGGTTTTCAAGAGTAGCTCAGAACATTCCGGTGCGCCGGTTGGCCCGTAGACTCGCAGTGTACTCTAGAGCAGGTAGGTAGGTACCGTAGACCGGTAACGTTCATGTGGTATCACTCGACACGTCGCATTCTTGGCGGGGGACCCGCGTCGCCGCGCAGAAGAGGGCCGCGGAAATCTGTGTGTAGGGCGGAAGGGGAGAAGTAGAAAAAGAAAAAGAAAAGGCACATTTTCTAGAGTCAGAGTGCAACGGCTTTGCATGACGTGACGTCCTACGTTTGTGAATGTAGAATCGAGTAGAGTATGTTTGCTTTTCTCTAGTACTCGAGAGTAGAAAGACAGGGAGTATGTAGCCGGAGTAAAGTATAGTAAGGGCTCCCGCGACAGCATCAATAAAGGCATATGCTGCCAGCCGCCTGAGCCGCAACCCTTCATCGAGGAGGTACCGAGCCTCGATAGTTATTTAGCATGAAGCCCAGCCCAGCCGAGCCGGTACGTACTCCTCTCCCCCACTGTCTTCCCCATTCACATTCCCCCAGGTTTGGTCCACCCGTACTTCACTTTTGCTGTCCCGCCAGGGTAGGGAGGTGCAGCCCGGCACGACATTATCGTGTGATGCTCTTGGAAATGGGTATGACCAACTTGATCCCCCATCTATGGGGTTCCAGATGGCTGCAGGGAGAGATATATGGCCGCTTGCTATACCAGTTGTCCAATGGGAGAAAAAAGAAAGCTCCATTATGCAGGGTCGTCCAGGCTAGAGTAGGTGTGTTCCTCATGGTGTCGATGGCGCGTTATCAGATCGGGGATCTGGTGGCTTTTGTCTCCCAATGTGAATATTGTGGCGCTGCGTTTATTGGGATATGTGAATCCCATGACTGCGGTGTCGGGGGTCTAGACAGACGTTTCTGGGCTGTGCGTTCTCACGCTTGATGGACAGGTATGTGTGCAGTTGTTTACACTGGCTGTTGGTGCTAGTAGGTAATGCGGCGTTCCGGCGTTCAGAAGTGTTGTCGTGATAATACTACATACATGTATGTATGTAGCTAGGAGTCGGTGGTTCAGACTGGCGCTCGGAATATCCGCCTGTAGGCCTTGAACCGTCGCAGAGTGTGGCCGGGACGTTTATATGACCACAACCAAGAAACAAAGACCTCAATTGACACACGCAAGTCAGTCTCAATTCACTATTTCTTAATTGCGATATTGGTACTTACATGTAGCTTGCTACAGTTCCACACCGCACCTACACGTGATTCCACCCAGTTTTTCCGAGAAACGCCAAGCCGTGCCAGGTTCCCCAGGCTAGTTATCCCGAAGTGACCCCAATCAGAATAGTCCAGCTGGGCGGACTCGTCACTTCAAGCCACTTCAAAGGGCCACAAGAACATGCTCCCCGATAACCCCATACCCATATCCAGGACTGGGTATGGGTCTCTAGAGACGCGAAATATCTATTATCAATTAGCTGAAGTAAATACTCAGCCTCATGGTGCATATAAGGGAGATTCTCCAGAAAGCGCAGACTGGATGCCGCTATGGTGTAGTTCGGTTTATTTAAGCTCCCTTGATCCTCAATTTCTGGAGATATGTAGCAGACCAAACGGAAGCTGGCTCGTAAGAAGCTGTTACTCTGCAGAAGAGCACACTCACCGATAACTGTCATGTCGCCTTCCTCCCGTCCCTGAGACATGCGATGGAAGCTCTAGAAGATAGATATATAGCTCAATTGCTCAATTGCATCGTCGCAGTCCTCACCCAGAGAGCCCAGAAAGCACTACAACAGGATAGGAGTATCATAGCCCCGGCCGGCCGGAAATTTGATCAAGGCCAAGATGCATCGATTTTTCCCTTTTTCCCTCTCCCGCCCCCCCTCAATACTTTTTTTCGCTCTCAAAAGTCGGCCTTCACGCCGTTTGGTGTTTTTAGTGTCCCCGCAATTTTCCTCCACACTCACTAGCTGGGATAGTACGTCACACCCAACCACCCACCACCACCCCACAAAAATGATGCCTGGCTGAACTGGTTAATTAACCCACCTCCCCGACCCACTTTGGCGGGGTTTTGCTATTGATTTATCCGATAAGCTACTATCATAAGTGCATTAGTCAGGGGAACAATTGCTGTTCCTGAATTGCCTTACCGAACCCTGGGGCGAGTGTTGCAACGGTGGTGGTTCTTCCCTTTCTGTTCCACCTTTTCTAGCTGGAGAGACCAGGTTAGTTATTCAGAAAACTAACCTTCCACTCCAAAATTAGGCAGAGAGCATCCAGAGCAGTGCACAAGTAGAGAATCCTAGAGTAATGAGACATCGCCACCGCAGAATCATGCCATGATCCTGCTGCTTGGGGCACTTGGCACGCCAACCTTTCCCGGTTTTCCATGCACCGGAAAAACTGACAAGGAGCCCAAGCACGGATTTTTCCGCGACTACCAGGTTTAGCTTGTATGTACAGAGCTACCTCACCAGCAAACCTCCGCAATGATCACCGGCGTAAAAAGCCTCTCCCCAGAGTTCACCCCGCCATGCTCCACAATTCCCTCATAGGGTACAGGATGGGGGCGAAGGGGGTATAAAGGCACTTGGTTCTGCCCTCGAGATGCTCGGCAGTGGTCAGTAGCATCGCCTTGATCTGGAGAACTCAACAAGATGAAATACTCCTTCGCCCTAGCTTCCTTGCTCGCCGGAGCGGCGAGTGCCCAAAACTTGTCCACCGCGAATCTGGCGGATGTGGATATCACGACGGCGGGAAACAACACTTTGTTTACGAGATGGAGGCCAACTTCGCATTTCATGGTAATCTTTACTGGCGATACGGAATTTTTACGTTCAATATTAACCGAATAACTCATAGGGACCTCACTCATGGATGAACGATCCTTGTGCGCCATCCTATGATCCCGCGACCGGATTGTACCACTTGGTAATTGATCTCCCCGTAGATGGTCGAGAGAGCAACTAGCTAACAGTTCCCAAGATGTATCAATGGAACCCTCACCACATCAACTGGGGTAACATCTCCTGGGGTCACGCCGTCTCCAAGGACATGGTCACCTGGACTGATGTTCGCGGTTGGGAAGACGACAAAGCCCAGAGTCTTGGTACTGGTCCCAAAGGCACCCTCGACCATCTTGGTGTCTTCTCTGGATCAGCCCAGTTCTTGCCGGCGAACCAGTCCTACGGCCTTCCTGGACTGAACTTTACCAGCGGACCTACAGACAAGACCATCATGGCTATTTTCTACACCTCCGTACAGCACCTTCCCACCAACTGGAGGCTTCCGTACATCTACCCCACCGAGACCCAGACTTTGGCTGTCTCCGTTGATGGTGCTATGACATTCACAAAGTTCGAAGGAAAGGGCGTCAACCCCGTTATTCCTCAGCCCCCTCCAAATTTGGACATCACCGGGTTCCGCGACCCCATCTACGAGAAGTGGCCCGAGATGGATGATATACTTTTCGGGAACGCATCGCTCGGTAACTTCTACACTGTTCTCGGCTCAGGAATCAAGGGCGCCGGAGGACGACTGCCACTCTACTATGCCCCAGCCGACGATTTGACAGACTGGCGCTACCTTGGCCCTATCTTTGCCCGTAGTGGAAACGAGAGCTGGAGCGAGGTTTACTCTGGCTCCTTCGGGTACAACCTCGAGGTCGCCGGTGCCTTTTCTCTTACCGAGTCTGGCAAGCACGGAGGTGATAGCGAGACTACTCACCACTTTGTCATTATGGGAACTGAGGGTGGTGAAACCACAAAGCACCCCTCTTCCCAGTGGGCTCTCTGGTCAGAGGTAGCCCTCACCCGCTCTAACAACGGATCTGCACACAGCGAGGTCCTTTCCTCAGGTGTTCTTGACTGGGGTCTATCGTACGCCTGGAACTCGTTCTGGGATGCTCCTAACAAGAGACGTATTGCGTGGGGTTGGGCAAAGGAAGAGGATCTGACAGTCGCAAAGACTGCACAGGGCTGGCAGGGAGTAATGACCTTGCCCCGTCAATTGTACGTCAAGGTCTACAGCGGTCTCAAGAACACTGCCGGCGTCCTCACCACAAAGGGGTCCTGGACCTCAGAGCGCAAGGCCGATGGCACCTGGCAGATCAAGACGATGGGAATGCAGCCCGCCCCCGAGGTCGTTGAGTCGCTCCGTGAAGGTGCTACCAAAGCGTCTGTCAATGCCACAAGCGTAGCTCCCAACACCTACAAGGCCATTACAAGCAACCTCTCTGCCAACATCCATGCCGAGATCACTATCCCACAAAACACCACAACTCCCGTTGGCTTTTCAGTTCTCCGCTCTCCCGATGGCGAGGAGGAGACCCTTATTGTCTACGATCCCGCTGCGAAAGAGATCAGGGTTATCCGTGAGGGATCATCAACTCTCAACTCGTCATATGTGAACACCTACGCCAATGTTGCACCTCTTTTCCTCCTTGACTACTCTAATGGGAAGAGGGAGAAGCTTGTCTTGGACATCTTTGTTGACAACTCCATGATCGAGGTCTTTGCCAACGAGCGTGTCGGCATCACTTCACGCGTGTACCCCGCTAGAGTGGATTCCACTGGCTTGGGAATGTGGACTGGTGAAGGAAAGGGAGAGGTTACCTTCTCCAAGGTGAAGGTATGGACTGGGTTGAAGAATGCCTTCCCCGAGAGGCCAGCCAACAGCAGTAATGCGCTCGTATGGGATTCGCCGGAGGAGACTGGAAACTACACTTGGTGGCCTGGTAATTAGAGGGGAGGTGTACGATAAATGATGGAGATGAGATGATACCTGATGAGAGATGTACTTCTGTATGTAGAATGCGGGGCATGAGTACCCATGAATAGTTTTAATGTCAAGTCAAATTTTGAACCCTTATCTATGGAGAACCACTTTCCCCCCCTTTTTCTGCATTATCCTCTCGTTGTAGCACTCCTGTGGGCTCTTTTAGCAGTTTGAGATGGGCACACAAAAAAAATTCTATAAAGGGAGCTTATACCGGGGATACGGTAGAAAGCAGGTCCCATTTTAGGCACATTGACCGATGAGGATCCGGACATTATTGCTATAGGTATATGAAAGGTAATGTGCCAGTGAAGTGGGATACCCAGGAAATGCATTATCAAGTTGAATAAGTAATTTGAGCTTCGATAGATGGCAAAACGTTTGTTACTCATGTTATGCGTGAATATCGTCACCAGACAGCACTCGACCTGTTGCGCTTATGTAAGTAGACATACATACATGTACCTCACGGGGTGACCACGCAGGTGTGGCAATTTTCCAATTGCAACACCGGAGAATGCTCAAACCGGTTTAATACATGTAGACATAATTCAAGACGATGAATTGTTCGAGGTTCCATGCGATATTTCGAATTTACCTATTATAAATTTAGCTGTCGATCCTGTGGATTTATCATGGATGGAAACAAACCAAATATCCCCCGCCCCTGTGGTCGCCATACCCCCGTGAGCCCGTACGTCTGCATGTGGGTGTCGATCTAGGAAAACCGTCCGTACAGCTGTACAGCTAAAAACTGTCTACAGAGCTAAATCCTTATTCCGAAGAACCACACAACCGATAAACTCTAGATCTTCCTAAATTAAAGAGAACATTGGTGAGGGCCTAGAATTAGTTTTTCGGCATTCATCCATCAATTAGAGGCTGTATAGTGCGTTGCCACATTGGTACCTTTTACTAGTTCGACACCCATGTAGTACGCATAGTATGCCCATGCAACTCGCCAGTCCTTACCTACTCACTCCAACCATAACTTTGGGTCTACAATCCATTCCGTTCAGACGATCGTTCAGGGCAACTAGTCAGCCAGCGTTAAGCACAGATCGTGATAACATCATGACTTCCAGTCCGGAGTCGCAAGAGCCCAGGGAGCTGCCGGAAAGCCAATTTCTTGCCTCAACATCTGATGGTCTTCTACCTTCAGCCTCTGCGAAGATTCCAGGACAAAGGTCACTACCGAAAAGGATTGCTGTTATCTCGTTCGAGGCCATCGTAACTCTTGTCCCGCTTCTTTTTATCATTTTGGCATTTTGTGCGAATAGTCTAGATGGTAAGCAATTGTCTAAGTGGGGTGAAAAGCTACAACAATTGGCAAAATATGTAAGTACTCGCTCCTTCATCAACTTTAGAGTATACCGCAGCTGATAGAGAATAGGGGAGTACTATATTTCCTATCCTTTTTGCTTCTGTGCTTGGGATGGCTATAAGATCAATCGCGAGATGGAGAGCGGAACGGGGAACAACGCTTCGTGAACTGTGAGTTGGTCAAGAATTGAGTTAACAGATAGCAAGAAATACTAATTAGAAATATCAGAGAGCTCTTGATGGGAAGCCAGACTTTGGGTAGTACAATAAGCACTCAGATTTCCACCCTTGGCTTTTCTAACGACTTCCTTCTCGGCTTTGGGCTCCTTGTGTTTTGGTTGCTTTCTCCTATCGCAGCACAGGCTTGTTTGAGACTGGTCGACATAAACCAAGTGACTACTGAGAGTCCTGGTAATATCACCTATTTGGATATGGAAAATAGCACGATTTTCATGACAGGAGATGATAAAACTGGAGTACGTGATATATATAACACTCTCTATGATTTTAGTCTGCTCTCACCACCAGTATATCGCACTGAAAGCAGAGATCTATGGGGAAATATAAAGGTACGATATTAGAACTTTGTTTTCTCATTCTTTAAATATGTAGTTCTACATGATCCTATACTAATTAACATAGGTTCCGATGTTAGAATCATTCAACTCTTCTAGGATCGAAGAGGACGGGTGGATATCCGTGGATGCATACGGCATTGATAACAATATCTCATATGTATCACTTATCGGCATTCCAGTTATTGGCCTCCCAAAGTTGAACTTGAGCGATGAATGGACAAACAAATCATTATCGGTACTGATGACCATTTTCAGCTTGGAGACAAATTATTTTGTTTTTGATTGTTCAAATATTTCGATAGTAGACCCTGAACATAGCCAGCAAGAAAATAGTTCTGGTTATCTTTACAACAGGACTTCGCCTTCTCCCAATACAACCTTTGTTTTGGACACCTCCACTCCGCTCGATAGAGTCTCGACACCGGGTCTACAACCAAGATACATAACGTTTGTCTCGAATTATGGTGTGCCAGAAGACGAGGACGATACAGTTGTATACAAAAGTGCGATGACGAATTGTTCTGTGACTCAATCATACGTTGAATTGTGGGTTGAATGCTATTATGATCTCTGCGAGGTTAGTATATTCTTTCAAGGTCCTTAAACCCCCGAACATAAAGATTCTAAACTATTCTTAGACCACAGGAATCCGGAAATCCACATTACTTCACAAACCTCCGGAATATACCGCTCTGGATAATCAGGGTCATATGAGCTTTATTGCGAAAGAATTAACTCACAGAGGAATCGATATTACAACTATCAATACCGACGCACTCTGGAGTGGAACGTTGACCGAATATTTTCTCAACGATCCATCGAAAGTGGGGTCCTTCTTCGAGTATAGCCGGGATATATCTCAGCTACCCAGAGATGTTTTCGCCTCTAGGTTCGGGTTATTGTTCAACACCTATTGGAACGCCGTACTTTCGCCAAACATCTTGGTTGATTCCAAGACCAAGGATGATATAGCCCACATTGTCGTCACTGATCCTAATTTTGACTACTCAGACTTATTCAAAACCACAAACACAAACACAACTATCGAGCTGACCGTGGACAGGTACGTTCGAAAGGTCTGGGCGATGGCAACACTCATGGCAACAAGCTGTTTGCTTCTCACCACAGCCATTATCGGCACGGTCCTCAGGTGGAAGTGTGTAGGCCCCAATGTTCTGGGCTACGTTTCGACACTCTTAATGGAGCCTGGAGGTTGCACACTCGATGGACCGGAGAGAACTAGGGCATTTGCAGATACGAAGGTGGGCCTTGTGGCTGTCAGAGACGACAAGGAAGGACGTGTTGTATTCTCACTCTTGCCGAAGCTCCCCGCTACAACGGAAGAAGCAGTCGACAAGTAATTCAGTCATTGTTATTCTTCATTTTCGTTTTCTTGATTGTGCCAGCTCAGAGTTACCATCATGCTGGTCTTTTTACAGTACGTGGTTCTCTCTTTGAGGCGAGTATTTCATTCGTTAGTCTGCACGAGTTTTCCAGCCTTTACTACTGGTAGATGTGTACGTAATTATCAATCTTCACATTTTCGCATGATAAAAAGCGAGGAATTATAACGAGATGGCCCACCTTCTGGTTCTCAACTCTCTGATATAAATAAGAATGCTGCATACATTTAGGTTACTTGTTGTATTCATTGCTATGAATGGGATTGGCTTCCTTTAAATGTTGGCGCGGATTGGTGTATGGGATTATGGGTGAGAACGAGGGAAGACGATCGACCAAGCATTGATTATTTCTTTTCCACTAATCCTACCGAGCATATCGATATCTCTCTTCCATGCTTCTATGCCATCAAATATGAACTTTGTAGGAGCAGTTACATACATACAGTCAGGGTACAGAAGTTTTGGTAACTTTGGGTTGCCGTTGCAACTATGTACAGCTCGAGCTCAAAAATCACGGGACAAGCCTCATGGCAACGGCCCCGAACCAGGACTAGAGCACCATGAACCCACATAGAACTCCATCAAATGAAGCTATTAAGAAGCGGCCTTTTGTAATTACATTGTCTAGTATATAATAATGAAATCTGTTATGTCTAATACTTTGTATACCACCCTCTTGCCTGGATTACAGCTTCAATCCTTCTTGGCATCCCTTCTACCAAGGCCTCAAACAATCTCTCAGGCATTAACTCCCAACAGTGAATTAAAGCATCTTCCATTAGAGGTCTTAGAACCTCTGGGCCTCAGGTATCATCTGCTAGGTGTTGGTAGTGTTTGTGATAGAGTGTCTTTAGCTGTACCCATACATGCTCGATAGGGTTGAGATCTGGTGAGTATGGGGGCCAGCCTTCTAGAATTTCAACATTTTTCTCCAACAACCAGTCCTTAGTAATTCCGGCCTTATGAACTCTAGCATTATCTTGCATAAATATTGGATCTATGCCTCTTTCCCGCAGTTCCTGTACAAAATCTAATAGGTAGAAGTCAAATGTTCTGATATAGACTTCTGCCGTCACACTCTCCCCCATGTCCACCCTCATACCTCCACACGTGCCTTTGAGACCACCTGCAAAACACCCCCATATCATCTTTTTCACTGTTCCAGACTTTGCCACCCCCTTGACACATTCCCATAGCCATCTTTCCTTTGCACTTCGGAACACCCACTCAACTAACGGATTTGACTGTCTCTCAACACTGCATTCGTCGCTCCAAATTACGCGTCGCCAATGCGCGACCGTCCAATCTCGATGGCGAATACACCATAGCAGTCGTACCCGAGCCTGTAATGGTGTTAAGAGGGGACTTTTGGCTTTAATATACTTGTGAATTCCGAATTTGTTGAGTCTCCGCTTGATGGTGCTAACCGAGATATTGAGGCCAAATTGTTGACGAAGCTCCTTATAGGAGAGACTGCAATCCCGCCGGGTAGATAGATAAAGACGTCTATCATCACGCTCAGTAGTCTTCCTGGGCCTCCCTACATGTTGGGGTTAGACACTGCCTGTAACGGCAGCTATGTATTTCTGGCTAAGTGATGAACTGGAACGAGGGAAGGAGGTATTGTGCAGTGGAATTAGGATTTGTAATGGCGATTTCTGTTATGTTCTTTTGGTTTCTGTTACGTGAAGGTATTAGTCATCGTTGGATTATGGATGGATATATAAGGGGGTGTTGTCTCGTGCTTTTGTCTGTTTTCCTTCTTCTTTTCTTTCCTTACGTAACCTCTGTATTTATTCCACGAATACTATTCTTTGTCCACACTACGTCATAGGGCTCCAACAGGTTTATCATACCAGGTAGAGCCACCTCATAGTCCATAGTCAAAGTATACCTTTACGTCTACGTCCACGTCTACGTCAATACCTCGGTTGTATTCCTTGGCACCACAGTCTATCGCCTATATTCCCCGTGATACGTAGGTTGCGTCCTCTATCGCCAACCAATACAACACTATAGTCTACAATGTCGGAACATGTCCATGTCGATTATCAACAACTCAACGATAACCTCCAAAGATTTTTTCAAGCGCATCCACAGGTCGATAACGTTGTCGGAGCCGAAGCCTATGCGCTTCTTCAACAGTGTCAAAATGGTCTTACTCAATATGCAATGGATTTACAAGAGGTAGAAGCGGAGGCTGAGAGGGCAAGAAGAATGTTTGAACGAGATCTTACTGCTGCCCGAGCTCAACACACTGCTGTTGAGGTTGTGACCCCTGACGAAGAACCTATTGGAAACAATGCTCCACCTGTACCCCCAGCACCACCAGTTACAGGTACCACCCATCGGTCGGAGAAACTCCCAGACCCCGACGTGTTCAGGGGGGATCGTGACCGAGAAAGGCTACATTTATTCAAGCAACAAATGAAACTCAAGCTATTAGGAAATGCCGATCGCTATCCTACACTACAGTCTAAGTTATCGTATGCGTTCAGCAGATTGGAAGGCGCTGCTGTCAATCAGTTCTTACAGTACATGGGAGAAGAAGGCATTGCTTTACCTTCTATGACACGTTTTTATGAAGTCCTGGATACAGCTTTTGGGGACCCCGATCGAATGAGTACAGCTAGGAGAAATCTCCGGAATATCAGACAACGCACTCAAACTTTCGCTGACTACTTCGCTGAATTTCAACGGTATACTGCTGAGTCGGGTATGGATGAAGTCTCTCGAATTGAGGCTTTGATGGAAGGTATTAACGGGGAACTCGATGAATCAATGATACACCATGACACTCCTGCGACGGTAGATGCCTGTGCGACACTTTTGCAACGATTGGATAATCGTCGTCGAGCGGCAGAAGCTAAACGAGGGAATAAAAAACCTTGGGCTACTGCTACTACTCCGGCCCCTCGTCCCCCACCAGCGAATCCTGTTCCTACTCCCCGCCCCGCTGCCCCTGTTGCCAACCCACCTGCCACTGAGAATCACCCCTCGTTCCGTCCTGGAGGTGATGTACCCATGGATCTGTCTGGAGGACGTCGTCGCCCTACCCCTGCCGAAAGAAACGCCCGCTTAGCTGAGGGCCGATGTTTCTATTGCGGAGGTGTCGGGCATATGGTTAGGGATTGCCCCCAAGCGAGGGCAACTGGAAATCAACCAAGGAGGCCTGTGATGAGAGGAGCGGCGTTGACAGTGGAAGAAAATGGTGGAAGTGATAACGAGTCGGCAAAAGATTTGTCCCTGCACTAAGTGGCTTAGCCCAGGGACCATTTAAGGATTTTTCTAGGATGTGTATTTCTGGTTTTTCGGTATCAGAGGAGGAAATGGATGGAAATCAACTTGTAGTAACTTGTTCGATTTCACAGTATAAAAAGTCTTTCATACCTACCTACGCCCTTATTGATACCGGAGCATCAGGATATGCTTTCATTGATGAATCTTTTGCACGCCACAACAGTCTTACAATGACCCCCCTTAAAATACCTCGCCATGTAGACGTTATAGATGGAAGGCCTATCAAATCAGGAAAAATTACCCATATTGTCGATGTCTCGCTAGACATTCATGGTCATCGGGAAGTTGTGCCATGTTTTGTAACGAAGTTAGGACACTATCCGATTGTGATGGGGATACCTTGGATGCGACGACATGATATTACGATCCGACCGAAAGAAAATCTACTTGTTTTTGACTCTCGAAGTTGTTGTCAATACTGTTCAATCACTGGTACTGCAGTTATTGTTCATGGCATTTCGATTCCCTTACCGGAACATCATACAGTCATTGTTTCAGCCACTGAAAAATCTACTGTCGATATTAAACAATTGCTACCGAAAGAATTTCACCATCGCCTCCATATGTTTAAAGAATACGAAGCTTCAATTCTCCCACCACATCGACCATCCCATGACATCGAGATAGTATTGGAAGAAGGCAAACGACCACCCTATGGACCCATATATGGGCTATCTCAGATTGAGTTAAAAGCACTACGGGAATATCTTGATGAAAATCTACCCAAAGGATTTATTCGAGCCAGTGAATCACCAGCAGGAGCACCCATACTATTCGTAAAGAAAAACGATGGAACCCTTCGACTCTGTGTTGACTATCGAAGCTTAAATGCGATTACAATCAAAAATCGATATCCATTACTATTGTTGAAAGAAACCCTAGCTAAGCTGTCAAGAGCACGATACTATACTAAGTTGGATTTACGATGGGGATATAATCAAATCAGGATAGCGGAGGGAGATGAATGGAAAACAGCATTCCGGACTCGATATGGACATTTCGAATATACAGTAATGCCGTTTGGATTAGCTAATGCCCCTGCTACATTTCAACATTGGATCAATGATATTCTACGACCCTACCTCGATCAATTCGTAACGGCATACTTAGACGATATCCTTATCTATTCCGAGACTCTATCAGAACATAAAGAACACATTCAAAAGGTTCTAAGGGTACTTGATGAAAACCATGTTCACCTTAGACCTGAAAAATGTGAATTTATGGTTCAGGAAACGAAATATCTTGGTTTAATCCTTACTCCGAATGGAAATAGAATGGACCCAAAGAAAGTTGTCGATGTTTTAGAATGGACTACACCGACAAACCTTCGTGATGTTCAAGTATTCCTAGGATTTGCAAATTTCTATCGACGGTTTATTTTGGGATATTCGAAAATTGTTGCTCCGCTTACAGCCTTAACAAAGAAAAATGTTAAATTTGAATGGACAGATGAAAGGGAGGAAGCATTTCAAACTTTAAAAAAGATGTTTACAACAGCACCAATACTAGCTCATTTCAATCCGGATCGAAAAATTGTAATAGAAACCGATGCATCCGACTATGTTTCGGCAGGAATCCTATCTCAACGTGACAACGAAGGAATCCTACATCCAGTTGCTTTCTTTTCCAAGAAACATTCTCCTGCAGAATGCAAC